CCTCAAACTCACAGTGATCCTTCTGCCTCGGCTTCCCAAGTGCTGGGATTACAGGCATCCACCAGCACACTTGGCTCTTAAACTGTAATTCTTTTTGCATTCTTTAACCAATCTTGTTGCTTTTACAGATAAAACCAACCTGAAAAGTTGTGAAGAAAAAGGTGTTAAAAATAGGATTCAGAAATGACTCTTTATTTGAGCAGATGTCTTTCTAAAAGAAAATAAAAAGTACTTATTTGAGGCACAAAACTTATATTAGTAAATAATTTATTTTCTTCTATAGATTTCACTTGACAGACTGATTTACGGATGGATGGTACTTAGGCAGTCAGTGCCCTGAATATGAATACTTTCAATGATTGATTTTTTTTGTAATATGGATTGAACCCAGTGCCTTTACACTGAGCTACATCCCCAGCCCTTTTAAATTTTTCATTTTGAGCCAGGGCCCTGATAAGTTAGCCAAGTTGGGCTCAAACTTTCAAATCTCCTGCCTTAGCTTCCAAGAATACTGGGAATATAAGCCCATGCAACCATTCCCAGTTTCACTGATGTTTTTATGAATTTAGTTACCTATAAGTTTTATCATTTCCACAGTGATGCATGGTTTAAAAGTACATTAAACTAAAATGAGTTCAAAGTATTTCCTGGGACCATGGCATGTAATAATTGACTTTTCTACTTTAGATGTATTTTATTTAGTGTATGAACCTCCTGGATTGAGATAAGCAGGGAGAGGCTGGAAACATACCTGGATATTCTCCAAGGTTATAAGTCCTGATGAAAATACTTTAATTTTCTCATATAAAGAGCAAAACAGGGGCCGAGGATTTAGCTGCCTGCCTCATAAGCGCAAGGTCACGAGTTCGATCCCCAGTACCAAAAAAAAAAAAAAGCAAACTAAAAGATAGATAATAGAAAGTAGGGGGACAGATCTTTCTCAAAGGGGAAGGGACTCAAGAGATGGATGAAGGGAGAAGGGAAGGAAGGGAAAGATGATGAAAAAAGGACTTGGGATGTGTTACGTGCATGTACCAACTCCCCAAGAGGAATGTAAACGCTATATATCACAAACATGTATTAATAAAAAATCACGGAATAAATCTGAAATTCCTACAAAAAATACTTTGAGCATGTTAAAATTCTTGCCTTCTGGCTCTAGGGTGTGTTGTCCAACCTGCCTCCTATAAATGTGCAGAAATGCTATGGGAGATAAAAATAGTGTTATTAAAAGGAGTGAAGGTATCAAATGAAAAATCATTCTTTAAAAAAGCTATCAAAGTTAATTAGTAAACTCTCAAAAAGTTCAGGAACTAAGCTGGGTGTGGTGGTATACAGTTGTAATCCCAGCACTCAGGAGGCTGAGGCAGGAGGCTCATTGTGAGTTTGAGGCCAGCCTGGACTACACAGCGAGACCGTCTCAAAAAATCAAACCAAACCAAGCCAACCCACAAACAAACACCTGCCCCCCTCCCACAAAAACAAACAAACAAACAACAACACAAGGAAGGAAAAGATTGCATGTGGCCTCACACAGGAGTGATGGATGTGCAGGGGCACTCCCCAGATCCACCCAAGGTGCAGGAGACAATCTGGAAGATGCTGAAGTCCAGGGAGATACCTAGGGTGAAACAAAGTGTGCTGTCAGGATGTAGCTGCCAACTGAACAAACAAATGTGAACATTCTGGTAATACCAACTCCAAATAGAGTTAACTTGAAGCAGTTACATTTCCTGAATGCTTCAGGACTGCCTGCAATTGAACACAGAAACTGTGCAGTTTGTTGATCCAGGTCCCTCCTGGCAGTCAGAGTCCTGATTAGCTAGCTGTATGTGATGCTCACAAACAATGTGCTTAGGATTTCACTCTCCACCTCCACTCCCACCCAACTGGTTTCCTCACAGAAAGTGATTCTTTTGTGGTGATCATGTGGTTTGTAATATAATGTTTCAATCTACACACAAATGTAGACGTCTGCAGTAAAACTTTGGTAACTAATGTAATGAATTTTCTGAGAATGAAACCACTGGCAAAAGAAGAAAAATGTGAAAATTACTTCTAAAAGCAGAAAGTCATTCAAATGTAACAAACTTCAAACTATTAATGTGTACCACAGTACAACTGTGATGGTAAATTTTATGAATTTGTTATTGTGAAAATGACACAATGTGGAAAAAATTGAACTGCAGCAGGGACTGTCTCACTCTTGTTTTTTTTTTTGAGACAGTCTTGCTATGTAGTTCAGGCTGGCCTCAAACTCATGGCAATCCTCCTACCTCAGCCTTCCAAGTGCTGGGATTACAGGTGTGTGCCAACACGCCCAGCTTGCAACTGTCTCACTTTAAGTTAAATTTAGAAATCTAGAATTCTCAAGTGGTTTCTACAAAGAATTCAAGGTTAGTTTAACATTCAAAATACTCAATGTAACTAGCCATATAAACAGACGGGAACAAAAAGTTTATGATCACAATAGATGCCAAAAAAAGCATTTGACATACTCCAACATCTATACCCAAATAAAAAGAAAACTAGGTACAAGGGAACCTTCTCAAATTGATAAAGCACATGTATGAAAAACCTGCAGCTGGTATCATACCTAACAGTGAACGAATGCTATTCCCCTATGCACTGCATATCCATATGTAAGAAAGAGCTGAATTCATACCTTGCACCAAATAAAACATTTAAAATTGGACCATAGTAAATCTAAAACTAAAACAGTTCTGAGAGGAAACACAGTCTTTGTGACTTTGCATCAGCCCAGAATATCTCATTGTAGCACTAGTGGCATTTTGGGCTTGTAGTTCATGTGAGGATTGCAGGATGTTTAGCAGCATCCTTGTTTTCTACTCACTAGGTACCACTAGTACCACAGTTGTGACAATAAAAAATGTCTCTAAGCATTGCCAGATTCTCCCTTTCATGCAAAATCACACTCAGTTGAGAACTACTTCATTAGGCAAAACTTTCTTAGATACAATGCCAAAAGTGTGATCCATAAAAAATGGTATGTTTAATTTCATCAGCACTCAGAACTACTTCTCTTCAAAAGACAGTGTTTAAAAGAATGAAAGATAGGTCACAGATTGGAAGTGGCTGCAAGTCCATATCTGGTAAAAGACTTATATCTAGAATATATAAAGAAGGCTTACAACTTATTAAGAAGAAAACAAGGTCAATTTTTAAAAGTGCTAAAGATTTAGCTATGTCATCAGAAAGATACCCAAATGACAAACACATGAAGAGCAAATGCTGGAAAGGACACAGAGAAACTGGGATTCTTACATATGATGATGGGAATATAAAATAGTACAGCTTTTGGAAGAATCATTTTTTGGGGGTACTGGGAATTGAACTCAGGACTTTGCACTTGCAAGGCAGGCACAGTGCCACTGAGCTAAATCCCCGGCCCTGGAAGAACAATATTAAAAATTCACCTAATATATGATCCAGCCATTCTCTCCTTAATATTTATCTAAAATTCTTTATGAACTCAGTTGCTTCAAATAAGGAATGACACTATTGTCAATGACGACAAGGAATTAAAGGACAACATCAGACAAATCTTAAAGGCTTTTATTAATTGAAACCTCCCTCTCATTTCTGTTGTTGATTCTGAGATCCTAGTGCCTTGTGCATGGTATTTTTTTAGTGGCCTGGAAAGGAGACTGAGAAGCCCATCCCCCATCTTCACCCTACATAGGGCTCAAGTGACTATAAAGAGAGTGGGCCTGCACCCTTTGGAACAAGTTCTAGGACACTGAAATCAAGAATTAAGGAGTAAAAGAAAAATAAAATATTTTAAATTTTGGAGCCGTTTTGAAACTTGATAATACTACAGTGTCAAGTTATGGCTGGCTTGACATAAAAACAACTTGGGTTAATTAGGTTAAAGGAAGATTCATCTTCCTCTTGTTATCTACAGCACATACCCAGGTAAACATCCAGATCTCAGGTGTATTAACTTAAAACCAACTTGAGTTACAACCAGCCCTTGGGAACCGAATTTGTAAGTCAAGGGTCCACTGTACTTGGTATCACAGCATATGTAGTGTGAACACTAGTTAATGGGAGAAGGATCAACTGGCTTAATACACTTTCATATTGGAGAAAAAAGTCATCTGATTTAGAGTAACATGAACTCATAACCCTCAAAGAAAAAAGTCATTTCCTACTCATATTAGATTATGAAGCCTTTTCTATAATGCCACTTTGTCCAGCTCGGGCAGTTGTGTGAAACAATCTTAACATTTGCTCTTAGAACCCAGATTTACTCCCTAATATTAGTCTCTATTAAAGGAGTCAGGGTTCCTTGGGGAGCAATGTGTTCCATGTTTGATAAAGGGTAATTCAAATCGAGTTTTGGGTTATCTTAACTATTATCACAAAGAATGTTTTTGGCAGTTCCTGGGGTGGGGGTGGGGTGGAAAAGGGTAAAGAGATCACTTGACAAGAGGGTGGCTGAGCACTGGTAAAAACAACCCGAGTATCAACTAGAAGTGATTACACATCCACCATAAATGCTAAGATAAGAAAAACTAACAACCACATATGTAAAGAAAATATAAAACAGGGCCAGGGATATAGCTCAGTGGTTCCGGCACCTGCCTTGAAAGTGCAAGGTCCTGAGTTTGATCTCTGGTACCAAAAAATAAATAAAGAAAATATAAAACAATTCAAAGTCTCATATGCTGTTGCAGGCTTATAAAATGGTACAATCCTCTGAAAGAAGGTTTGGCAGTTTCTTATTAAATTAAACATAACCTACTGGAAGACTAAAAAATTCCATCCCTAGAAATTTATACAAGAGAAATAAGATATGCAGTACATTCACAAACATTTCTACAAGAATGTCTGTAGCAGCTTTATTCATAGGAGGGGAAAAAAAGGCAGAAAAACATCCCAGGTCTCCATCAACAGGAAGACAGAAAAATGGTGACATGTTCATATGAAAGAATACTTAGCAATAAAAATGAATACACTGACACATACAATATGAATAAATCTCAAAAGCATTATGTTGAAAGAAATTTTATTAAGTTTTATGATAGGCAAATTTAACCTGGGATACAAAAGAATCAGAGCAGTAGTTGTACCTGAGAGGTGGTAGGGGTGGACCAGGCTGGGGAAGTGGAAAATCTTCCGGATAATTGCATGTTCTAAATTTTCAGAAAGGTTTAGGTTACATATTTGAAAACACTCAGCAAATGTATACTTTCTTACATGGTAAGAAAAAGAATATAACAATTATTGAAATGGAAGCCAAATTACATAAGAGTAACTGCTAGTACTGGTATTTACTGTCACTACAAACAAAATGAGTATCATTTCGAAATGACTTCTAACTAGTGAATGAAGGACCATCTTTTCTGTGAAGTTATGTATGTGTGAATTGTTTCTTATCCAAACTTTGTCCAAAACTTGGATATTCCATCATCATTAAAAAATTAAAAATAACATACTGGGGCTGGGGATATAGCTTAGTGGTTAAAAGTGCTGGCTTACCATACACAAGGCTCTGGGTTTGATCCCCAGCAGCACCAAAGTTTTTAAAAAAGACATGAAACACTTCCCTATGTATCCAACATTATAACTGTCAGTAAGCTATATGTGAGATAAAATAGCATCAACTGCTTTTTGAGATCTTTGGAGAAGATCTAGCATGTCTGTCATCCAAATCTATATGTTTCCTGTCTCTGCACTTACCGTTGTGGGAACTATGGAAAATTAACTTCTATAAGTCTCACTTTCTTCATTTGTAAAATGGGGAAGATAATGGTAGTTTTTATCACATATGGTTATTTTGAATATGAAATGAGATGTCTACTTTTACATATATCACAAGGACTGGTAGGTTTCTTTTTCTTGTCATACTGGGATTGAACCCAGGGCCTATGCAGTGAGCTATTTCCCCAACCCTTTTTATTATTATTTATCATCATCATCATCATCATTATTATTTTATTTTATGGTACCAGGGATCAAACTCAGGTCCTTGTGCTTGCTCAGCAGGTGGCAAAACCACTGAGCTAAATCCCTTGCCCTATTACTATTATTTTGAGACCTGGTCTAAGTTGCTAAATTGTCCAGGCTGGGCCTAAACTTGTGATCTTCCTGCCTCAGCCTCCCTGAAAATTTCCATTAAAAAAACCACACAACTATATAAGACATCAAACACTTGAAGAATGTATAGTGCCTTAATTTGCTTAAATAGAACAATATTATCTCCTTACTTGTTAGCTCAAGTACTGTGACAGGATTTGTGTTCTCAAGTTGTGAGAAATACTGTAGAAAATCAAAGAACAATAAGCTTGCTGCAGGGATAGTATGAGAATACAGAAACTTAGATCAAGGAGGGAAATGCAGAAATGCACTTCTTTTCAGCTTAATGTCTGTATTTGCTGAGACGTTACCTTGTTTCCCTTGGTGAAGTGAACATAATGAAGAGAACATGTCACCCACAATGCTTTGTACCTGTTGCTTGCACATGGTAAGTAGGTGGGCAATACTTTAGTAGTTGTAGAGTCACTAAAACAGGCAGAGAAGGGTTAGGGTGGGGCAGGAAGGTATTAACCACCATTCCCCTGACCCCAGTCTGGCAGGTGGCAGAATGAACAACCACTTGACACTGGAATGTTGGGATGACCACGTCTTTGGGGGGAGTGTGCAGTATTGTCTTTTGCTATTTGTAGTACCTCAATTTCCCACAATCTTTGTTATCCTTTGTGTCTTTGGCATCTTTTTAGCAACCATCCTGTCCACAATCGTGTAGCCTACATTCCCATTCACTCTTACAATCAGCTGGAATGAGGCACAGGAGCTGCAGCTTATCTGTCTAGTTGGGGCACAGCTCTGCTATCTGTTACTCTGCCCAAAACTCTACTATTGTTCACACTAGAAATATTTGCTGCCTAGTCCATGTGGCTTCTGGACCCTGGTCTACTTGATTTTGGCAGTGGTAACACATTAGGAATTTTTTAATAGTCACTTTATATCTAGACTAGAAGTATCTCAACCCTTGCTCCTGCCAAAAAAATCCAGGGATCTCAGATATTTCTCAAATGCCTTCCTGAGTGCTGAGTGCCTTTCCACCATTTTACCAAAAGGTGGTGAAGATTTCAAGCAGGAGAAACTCAATATCTGCCTTAAAAACAGTCTCGGCCAGGATGGAAGTCTAAAGATATTTCAAATTAAGAGCAGACATTCTGCTGTTACACAGTACTGTACCTGCTCTGAAACCTACACTGTGTTACTTTCTATTCTTTGGTATTGTGCTCCTTTTACCAAACTACTTTTTTTTTCAAGATACAAATTTATCTTTTTTTGGTACTGGGGATTGAACTTGGGTCCTTGAGCTTGTGCAGCAGGTGGTGAAACCACTGAGCTAAATCCCTGGCCAAGATACAAATTTATTAGGCAGGACAATGCAGATATAGTACAGTGAAAAGTTTGGGGTAGTATCAGCCAGGCATGGTGACACGTTTGTAATCCCAGTACTTGGGAGCTGAGGCAGGAAGAGCATCACGAGTGTGAAGCCAGCCCGAGCTACATTGAGAGTTCAAGGTCAGCCTGAACTACATGGTGAGACCCTGTCTTAACAAAACAAAAAACCAAAACAAATTTGAGGCAATATCAAGCACACTAACTATGCAACTATTCTGTAATTATAATCATGTCTTTTGAAGTTTCAGAGATAGTAAATGGTACTATTAAATACACATAAAATGAGAATGGATTTTTCAGTTAGTAGATATGACAGCACTGGAATTTAACATATAAAGATAATTTTATCATCTTGTTCATGAGGTAATCACTTCTATTTTTCCAGATGGTTATTACACATAGAATTAGATTTAGAAAGACTTATTTTTAGCCCATATATATTTTACCACAGTCTCAAATATCAGTACAGGTTAAGCATTCCTAATATGGAAATCCCAAATCCAAAATATTCTACAATCTAAAACTTTCTGAGCACTGACAAGATGGCCATAAGTGGAAAATTCCATACTTGACCTCATGTGATGGGTCAATAGTCAAAACATGGGTTCACTGAAACTAGTGCATGAAATTACCTTCAGGGTATGTATTTAAGGTACATGAGACATAAAAGAGCTTTATGTTTAAATTTGGGTCCTGTTTCCCAAGATTTCATTATGTACATACAAATATTCTAAAACTGGAAAAAAATTTAAATCCAAAGTACTCTTGATCCCAGGGATTTCAGATAAGGGATATTTAACTTACATATTTTTTTTTCTATTGCACAAAAGATGATTTCTTTTTATCTTAATTTTACAGACCCTGTTACTGATTCCTTGACTTCCATGAATATACAGCATCTTTCTCTCCTTAATCCTACTGATTATAATAAACTTGAAATCTATTTGCAAACTTTCAAAAAATTTACAATGAAAAAATGCATTGTATGAAATATAGAGAACTGAACAGAATTCATATAAATTCTTAACATGGCATCAAGCCTGAACTGAAGGACTTCAATGTAAATTATCCAAGCTAAAATTCCATTAAATTTAACCTAAAATTTGCATCAGCAATCATTTTTACTGCTGTTCCTTTTTTTTTTTTTTAAACTACTTAGTCTTTTGATGCTGCATCAAAGAAATGTGTTGATCAAGTGGATTGCAAGCAACTGGATGTCTTGAACACAAAGCATAAACAAACATTTTTCTCCCTTACTTAGGCTGCCTTCATTTAACATTCTTAGGATGATGATTGGAGTTTAAGTATCATATTTATATCTGTCCTAACAGAAGAAAAAAATACTCCCTTCATAATTAAGATAGCCAAAAACTCTCTCTGGCTAATCAGGTAATTCCCAAGCCAAGAAGAACTCCTCCTGGGACTTCACTGACTCTTCCATGAGGAACTGAAATGGCACAGGCCAGGGTCCCTTTATTTTCTTGTACACTTATGAAAATATTGTCTAAACGAAATGGTCATAGTCATTAAGTAGAATGATGAATGACAGCAACATTCTTAGATTTAAATAGGCTACTGATAAGAAAAAAATTTCCTTTGACATTGCTTAGAGTCTTTTATATTAGTTTATAATAGAAACACAAAATATTTAACAGGGATGTCAAGCCAAGAGAATAGAACCATAGAAGAAAAGGTAATTTGGGAACTAGAACCAATTCTTGATATTATACACAAATATAAAACATATACATACATTCAATTAAAAAAAAACCTATGATGTCACACTTTTAATGCTCAAAAGTAGGCTTTCACATTATTCATCTTACCAAAGTTTGATATGGAGGATATAGGATTTCTTTCTGTATTTTTCCCATCTTTATTTTTATCTGTCTCTCTCTCCTAGCCTTATCAATCAAAATTTCATACTATCCTTTAAAAATCATGTTAAACCTCTCCACAGCAATACCTGTCTCTGTAACATGTGGTATTAACCCATACTCCTCTCTTACTCAGCATTTTATATTTGCGTTAGCACCTAGCTAGAAGTTTCAAAATGCTAGACCTCTTGGGAAGCATTCTAAAAAACTTCACCAAATTTTATGGCAAGAGTTTAATGTTAGTCATCTGAAGTTAATACAAGACCTTTTCTGAAAAAAACCCACAAACTGTAGAATGTGCCATTCAGATAATAAAAGAGGACTGGACAGTTTCTAATGTGTTTGGCCAAAAGTCTCATAGGCTACAATTATCTCACTCTTTTTAACAATTTGTGTTTAGGATTTCTTCTTCTTCTACTTCTTCTTCTTCTTCTTCTTCTTCTTCTTCTCCAGGGTCACATACCATCTGGTAAACATAGCAGCTAAAGACCCTGTTGGGTTTCTGTTCTATGTGTAGCACCAAGTCTCTGTCAAAGTAGACCTCATGGCTGTATGTCTGTAACAAAAACACAGTATACAGAATCTCATTTTCACAGAACCATATTCACTGCTCACTCTTGTGTCACTAAAATGCCACAGCACCTATGCTAGGAATCTTCAAATCTACACATAGAGACAAAAGAGTTGCCAGAAATAGGCTTATTTTTCCTGATTTGTGGATATACAGATTGCTAATTTTAAAAAGCATTGTATAAAATATAAAAAATGAAAACAACCCTGGACTTAGGGGTCTAAATATCTAGAGTCTATTGTCAGCATGGCTACTATCTGTCTTACAGTGTGACCATATATGAATCGTTATACTTCTCAGCTTCTCCATTGAAACAAGGCCTGGGTAGAATGTCTGCTGTTCCTTAGAACTTTTATATTATATAATACTTAGAAGAGCAGACAAATATTTCCATGAGTGCTTGGAAACCCAATTTGCTTAGATATGATCTTTATTAAATAAATATGGGGATTCATTACATTATACTTTCTTTTTTTATACTTTCATTTTTTAAAATGTTATCAAACATATTTGGAGAGAAAAATCAAAGACAACAGTAAGGAAATACACATTAAGTTTCATCTTTGAGCTTACTGATAAGAAGGCAGAGGGGAATCAGGGACGTACTAACTTTATCCTATGTACTGGACAATAACTTCTTTCACATGATCACCAGCACAGGTGAGTTTAGATTCATGTGAGCATAGTAATATCTGTTCCAATAAATGGAACCCACAAAGAAAACTCTTACTACTTTGTACCCCCACTCCTTTAGAGTACTGGGGATGGGCTGGGGATTTGGCTCAGTGGTTCCACCACCAGCCTCACAAGTGCAAGGTCCCGAGTTTGATCCCCAGTACCAAAAAAACCCAAAACAACAACAACAACAAAAAGTACTGGGAATGGAACCCATGGTTTCATACATGCTAGGGAAGCACTTTACACTGAACTGCAACCCCAGCCCTGTAACCCATGGATTCTACTCACCACATCCCAAGACTCCACTAGTGGAATGCTTTTAAGTAATGTTCCATATTCATTACAGTGGAAATCCAGGTGAGCTTTTCCTTCAGCATCTATTTGAGTAACAGCTACCACAGAGAGCAAATCTAATTCATCTTCATAGTCCACAATTTTGAAAGTCTTGAGGATAGATGGATAAGCCAGAGGAAAAGAGGCCATATCCAGTTATTCAGTTAGGAATACTCCTACATTTATAATTTAACTGTTCTATTACTACAGAAACACAGGCCCCCCGATTTCTAAGAGTTAATATCTTACAGATTTCAACAAGCAGGTCCAAATCTATGTAGATGTCAAAGTATAACTCTCCATAATGTATAATCCTCTAAAATGACAGAAAGCCAGAGCCTTTCCAATTCAAGAGTATTCAACTGCTGCCTCTGACAGGTGTTCATGAGTTCTCAGATAGGAAGCTCATATCTGAAACCTCTCTGAGCTCTAAAAGCTCTTAAACACCAGAAAAAGTCTTTTCAAGAAGAACCCACCATGTACTGTTTATGACTCTATTTGTATCCTTTTTTAAAAAAAAAATCTTTTCTGGTTCCCTGAAGAAATCAAAATGACTGTTTATACCTGAGGAGGAATATTAGGAACTTAAATCCAATACACAGAACAGGAATGGGTCAAGAGGGCTTAGCTATGATAAAGAAAGACAAAACTCAGAACTTCGTCCCCAGGAAAAAGCCCTGGGACTCCCGCAGCCTCACAGAGGAAACAGATCAGTGCCTGCCAGTCAGGGATGAAGCACAGGAAGGCACCCCTTATGTAGTGCCTCGTATCATCCTTCAAGACAGGCAAGTTTGGTCAAGCTGTTCTTTAATCCATTTATATTTCTTGCTTTACCACCTTCTGGCATAAAAGTGTACATAGATTTATTACTTATGGTTCATTTTTACCTACTTTTCTGCCATGATCCTACCATGGTCAAATTTCAAAGGTTGACTTCTTGCTGAGAGTCAATGATTTTATAGCTTTTAGTAAGGATCATTTTCAATTTTTCCTTTATAGACTTTTGTAAAAGGCTTAATTTCCTAATCTCATGATATAGAACATCTCTCTTTTTCTTGCCACCTGTCCCTTACTACTTATTCATGCTCCATTTTGGTAATTTTAGTATATCTTGCTTGAATATGCTTTTTAAAAAAATTATGATTTTTGTTTTGTTTTGTTTTGTTTTTTAAAACAGGGTCTCACCATAGTTCTGGTTAGCATTAAACTCATTATGTAGCCCAGGCAGGGCTTGAACTTGTGGCAATCCTCCTGCCTCAGCCTCCCAAGTGCTGGGATTACAGGCATGTGCCACCATGTCTGGCTTGAATATGCTTTTATATACAGAAAAAGGAACTTTCTACTTTGTTCTTGATAGGTTTATATGAACCAAAAGAATAATTTTTTTCCTTTTTACACACACTGGGCCATATCAATTTAGAAAGCTGCTTTAAAGTTTACACACAAATATGACCACATAAACAATAAAGTTACATGGTTTAAGTGGATTTAGAACTTATGTAATGGTTATGTATTTGAGGCATGATCAGTGTTGCTTTCAGAATATTTCCAGTGCCTTTTAAAGGAAAGGGATAAAATTGGATTAGCTCAGTGACTGGCAATGTCAAGTAGAGGTCAAAGGCTGAAATGATTTGCTATACCTTCATCCCCAATGGCCTATGAACATTAACAGGCATATCCATGTCTAGTAAGTAAAAAAATAAGGTAAAAGCCATAAAAACATGAGAATATAATTCAAGAATTTTTTATTAAGTGATTTCTCAAGAAAATACATACATCAACAAAACTCTAAGCTAATCATGTTTTCAAATTATTTTGGCTTTATGAACCTTTCTGAAAACAAAGTCTTATGAACAATTCCAATAAGAAAAGAGAATATGGTGGGGGGCTGCACTGGTTCAAATAGCATATTCGACCCTACCTTTCAGCCTGCAAGGAATCCATTACCTCCAATCTACCACAGGATCCAGGACACATTGATTTGAAATTCACAGTGCAAGTACACATTGATTTGGTTTGTTATGTTTGGCTAAAGTAGTACCTCTTGTTCTGGGTCGTCATCCAGAAGGTTAAAACTTTTTTTTATCACCCGTCCAGAAGCTGTAACAGTGATTAAGTTTTCTTTCTATTATATGGAGAGAAATAAAAAGATGTAAGTTCTATCATATGCAAAGACAAAATTTTATTAATAAATGTGGTAAAACTAACCAGCCTTTTTCCAACATCCACAATTCTTTTCTCAACCAAGAAAATTCTGAATCAGATTTCTGATCCTTCAGTTTGTAAAAATACTTTACTATGGTAAGGGGTTTAGTTAGATAAAATAACAGAATAAGCAAAAACTAATTAACTAATTCAAAAGGTATAGGTTTTCTGTTTTATTTTCCTCATTTCTGTACTAGCATAGAACAAAAAAAGAGGATCTACTTTTAGAAATTCCCTTCATCATTTTCTTCATGTTAATTTACACATTAAAGAAAAAGTATCATTTGGAGTTAAAGTATGATATGTGCTTTTACATATACCCCAAATAACCCTAAGCCTGCTCAAATAATTAGAACCAAAAGTTGAAAATTCATCAATAAAAACTTAGAGAAATCCAGAAAGGAATAAATAAGCAAAAGATAAACTCAATATTATCAATTTTCTTCAAGTCTCATTTGTACACCCATGTAGACAAAATGAATAGATTTTTATAGGGCTGTGCTATTGTTTTCAGCCATATTCCAAGGTAAACATATTTGCATATCATACGCTTATACATAAAGAAAATTATATACAAAGGACTTAAAAAAGTATTTCTGACTTACCTTGTTCTCCCTATTGGCCAAAATTACAAAATCTTCAGAGATCTGATGCTGAGAACTATTATTTTCTATTTCATTTAGCTTTAAAATTCTGAAAAGAATAAAAAAGAATTCTAAGAATCTAAGACCTCAAAACACCGTCAAAGTGCCAAAGCTGAACTGCTGAAATTAAACAATGAAAATTATAGTAACATTTTCTGATTAGTCTGAAAAACAAATGCCTGATCAATAAATGTCCATAAACCCCTGAAAACTCAAGAGATTCTGTTAAACAGAAAAACAGCAACTGTGACAAGTGGTAGCGAAGTAGGCAATGCAGGAATGAGGCACTTTGCTCAGGCTTCACCTTCCAGATGGGCTTAATGAAAGTTGCTCTGTGGGCTGGGGATTTAGCTCAGTGGCAGTGCCTGCCTCGCAAGCAACAAGGTCCTGAGTTCAATCTCTGGTACCAAAAAAAAGAAAAAAGAAAGTTCCTCTGAGGAACCTTATCACTTTGTCCCTTAACAAGTCTTTAACATGGCATTATGGCAGATATTTGCATTTTTATTTCTGAAGATAGAATGAGATGTCTATAAACAACACGCAGAGTTAACTCCAAGAGACTGGAGCAGCAACTAAATCTAAACTAAGATTTTCGTGATAGAGTAATACCTAAAAACTGCATTGACAATACATTTGTCTTTTCTTACTATTAGTTATAATAAATTAAAAATTTGGGTTGTATGAGTGTAAATGTCCTCAAGGATCAAGCTTTATTAAGCAAGAGAAAATAATTTGCTCACCACCTACACTAATCTGTTCACATCATTAACAAGCTTCCAAAGCACAATTTTTTCAAAGCTCAAAGTCTCACATGCACACAAAAAAGAACAGGTGGGGTAGCTATACATAGTGGTGTACACCTCTAATCTCAGCAACTCAAGAGGCTGAAGCAGGATTGCAAGTTTGAGGCCATCCTGAGCAACTGTGGAAGACTCTGTCTCAATGCCCAGTACAGAAAAAAAGACAGGAATGAAAGAAGGAAAGAAGGAAAGAAGGAAAGAAGGAAGGAAGGAAGGAAGGAAGGAAGGAAGGAAGGAAGGAAGGATGGAAGGCAGGCAGGCAGGCCGGGCAGGCCGGCCAGGCCTGGCCAGGAAGGAAGGAAGGATGGATGGCAGGCCGGCCAGGCCGGCCAGGCCAGGCCAGGCCAGGCCAGGCAAGGCAAGACAAAGTGAAATAGCTACTGTAGCCAGGAATAGGTGGATGTCTCAGAATTGCCAGAGACAAACACATCAGATTAAAGTACTCAATTAGTTATTTTAATCACTGTAATATTTAAAAGTGCCTATCTTTTAAAATCTGGCAAAGGGACACATATAATTTGTGAAACTTATTTTCTTAAACTTAGATTAATATGGTTGGTAATAAATATTAAAAAGTTAGGTGGTAATAAACATTATAAGTATAGTTTACTGAAGCTGAACCTTAGTTTAAGATATTTTGTAAAAGTTAATAAACTTATTTCATTAAATACTTTCATCCTTCTTAGACGAAGAGAGGTAAACTGATTATTAGGAAGCATAAAAAGGGCCAGGATTTAGCTCAGTGGTTTTGCCGCCTGACCCCCAAGCACAATGTCCCGAATTTGATCCCCGGTACCAAAAAAGAACCATAAAGAAGTCAGACATGGCTCTTCTTATTCAACAAACACTTACTGAGCATCTATTCTGTGTCAAGTACTGTGCTCAGTTTTGGGGTACAGGAATCAGCAAAACAGACTCTTCCTATCATTATGGACAATTAATTTAAATTGCTCTATGTGCTACAGAGCAAGATTACACAATGGGTACAATAAAAACAGGGCAGGCAAGTAAATCTAACAAGAGTATTAAAGAAAGTCTCTAAAAAAGCGATCTTTAATTTGGACCATAAACTATGAGTAGAAATTAGGCAGGCGAACAGGCAGGATAAAAAGACTCCACAAAGAGGACCAGGTCCCCAGCTGTCTGAAAAGACATCTTGTCTGCAGTTAAGAGGGAAGAAGGTCTTTCAGTCTACTCTGCTAACCCTGTGGGTCTTTATCCTGAGAGCAAAAGAGAAGCCATAAAAAGGTTAAAGCAGAATTCATTTGCTTAGGTTTTCACATTTGTTCATGTTATTAACAATCATTCTCACTGCCAAAAAGAAAAAGAGTAAGCACAAGAGTGGATTCTGGAAGCCCTGTAAGTAGGCTATTACTGTGGTCTAGGCTAGTGATGATGGCAGTCTGACCAAAATAAGGACAGTGGCCAGGGGCAGAAATAGTCAGGGTTAAATATTTAGTAGTAAAATAAAGTGTATTGACAGGATATATAGTTGTGTGTGAGGGGCAGAGGATGCTGGATGTGGTGGCCCCTGCTTGTACTCCCAGCTCTGTGGGAGGCTGAGGCAGGAGGACTGCAAGTCTGAGTCTAGCCTGGGCAACTTAGTGACTGAGTGAGACCCTGTCTCAAAATGAAAAAAAGTGGCTGGGGACATAGATCAGTGCAAAGGACCTAGGTTCAATTCCCAGTGTCACCAAAAAAAATGTATACTGATAAAACACAAGAAGGTAAGATATCAAGAACGATTCCAGATTTCTGGCATGAGTTAAGATGAGGTTTGGGCTAATACATAAATGTTGGAATTTTTGCTATACAAAGATCTTTGACACCAAGTGAATAAACAGAGAATATTGAGTGAGGAGAGAAGGTTTAAGTGCTTAGGACAGTGGTGGTGGCATGTGTGCTGCAGTAAGCTGTTTATGATCACTTAGAGCTCTAGGATATCCAACAATTAGAAAGTCTATGAAGAGCAAGAAAAGGATGAAAGATTATTTAAAAAGATGGATAGAAGTGCGAAGAAAACAAGAACTGTGATGTCAGGGAAACCAAATGACAAACATTTCAAGGGACAAAAAGTCACCTGGTGGGAGATGTGTAATCTTTGAAAGCAAATAAAGTAAAACAAAAATCAATCCACTGCCTTTCGTGTGTTAAGGCTGACCTTCAGGAGAAAGATGAACCATCTCCTTTCTTTTTAATCCTAGAGAATTGGGACTCGATGAGGAAGGGCTGGTCTATAATTCCCTTTCATTTGTATATTATCTATCAAAGAGTATACTCAAATAGCATATGTATAAATAGTATGATGAATAAAAGTCAGATATTCTAGGTGCCTGTCTCTGGGAAGTGTCCTACAACAAGCTAATTATTTCCATAATTGGTTCAATAGTTAGCTGGCAAAAATAAAGATGGCAATATATGCTACCAAAAGCTGTTTTTAACTTTGAAGTGCTTACTCACTTGATTTGATTTGGGCCAACATGTATTATTCTACCAGATGCATCAGGATGGAAATAGATCCAGTCAGATTCTAAAGAACAACAGTCCATTTCTTGGATCCCATTTTTTGCCTGAAGTTGGAAAAAAAATATTAAGATAAAGAATAGGGGAAAATATTTTTTTCAAATATAACACCAGTGATGAGTCATTAACACAAAAGCACAGGAAAAAAGAAATTATTAACCAGTTGAACTGGGATGTACTGGAGGGCTCAATTATGACACTCAAACTTGAGAAAGTAAAAACATTTAAATTTGGAAATTTCATAGACTTACTCTGTACCATATGTCATACTGTACAAATAATAAGGAGTTACCATATTTGAGGGTACATATTTTGTGTCATGAACTATATTTGATCCTTTATGGTCACTAATTCATTTGCTCTTAATCACTCTCAAAGAAGATATTAACCTCAATTTATGGCTAAGGAAACTGATATGCAAAGAGAATAAATCACTTGTCCAATGTTTTGAACCTATTAAAAGAAGATCTGATTCCAAAGTCCATGGACCTTCCATTATATTACTCTGCCTTACTTATGTACATGTAGTTCCCCCACAACTTCCTCCTTCCCTTCCCATCCCAACCATTCCCTGTCAATCAGCACAGTGGGTAACACAAACAAACATGTGACCAAGCCTAAAGTCTCTGACATAGGTCATGTAATCTTAGATAAGTAAAATACTATAAACTCTCATATCTAGGCAGGCATAGTGGCGCATAGCTAAAGTCTCAACTACTCAGGAAGCTGAGGCAGAAAGATTGCTTGAGCCCTAAAGTTGGAGACCAGCCTGGGTAACATAGCAAGACCCTGTCTGAAAAAACAAAAACAAAACAAACAAACCTTGCTTTCATATCTGAGGAAATGGTCTAATACTGTTTAGCATTTAAGAAAAGAAATGAAATTTATTTCATTGTGGTATATTTAGACATTAAAGGAAAAAAACCCTTGTATGTGATCACATGTGTACACTAATATTCCACTGTATATATACACAGGAGCACTGGAAACTAAAACTAGCATGGATACAGAACTTCACTGGCTTTAAGTCATTTAATTTCTTTAGTTTCTTCAATGTAAAATGAAATGATACAGTCTTTCCTATTGGATATTCATAAAAGCTTTGAAACACTAGAGTTTATTAATTTCATCAGCATATATTGACAGGGTACAATGTTGTAGGTACCATACTAAGCATTTGTACCTGACATGAATCAAACATCAAGATGTTGATAGCATATGGGGAGACAGAAACATAAACAGAAAATAATAATGCAGTGTAGAAAAATGAAATGATTGGGCCTGAACAGGATATTATCAAGAAACCAATCCAGATGAACGGAATTTCAAGAAGCAAAAAAGCTTAACCTGAGTCATAACAGATAAACAGAAAATAGTGACAAACAGCACAGAAATCACAGAACAAAAACACAACAGTTTAAGCCATATAGCATGTATATACATAAACATAAGTAACAGCTAAAATTAAATTGAGAAGTACAGTATACAGGCACGAGGCCGGAGAGGTAGGCTAGGGATATGCTATTAGTGCTTTGTATGCTAAAGCACTTAAAAAATTTGAAATTTAACACATTTTATGAATCAAATTAGTGAATGAGTTCCAATTTTTCATTAATTTTTACAAGTATCCTATTTCTAATAGAAATGGTCATATTATTATATATCACACACAAGAAAATGAATGCATTTAAACATCTTGGTTGCAACTATTAAAATAAATATGTCTGTGATGGTACTGGCTCCAAAGTGTTCTCTTTATTAAAAATATATAAGTATAACATGCAAGAATATCTGTGTTAAATAGTAGGAAGCTTTATTACCAGCTCCTGTAGTTTTTAATTATTTTCTCAAGTGCTAGATTTAAAGCTCAGTGTAATACTGAAAGCTATAGGACACTTTCTATAGCTGACATCTTAAGTTTGGCTGCTTATGTTTTGGAGTTATCTACTCTTCTGGTGGGTAGCAAGGTAACAGACATAGGCATCATTAAGGCAATGTCACTGCAATAAAACTTTCCAGCAAAGAGATTAAAAACCTCCGGACTTGGCAATTATTTATGATATGGATAAGTATGCTTGACATAGATGTTGAAAACCATTATTTATGTGCATATATACATACAAATACAGTGTGTGTATACATATGGATATATATGAAAGAACATGTGTTATCAGTTCTTACATAAGAAGAGTGTGTGCTAAATGTCTAGAATGTAAATTCTGTAGGGTTTGACTGGATGCTTTTTCATCATTAAGTGAAAAAGAGATTCGCAGTTCCTGGTGGCTGGAGGACATCCTGATTGGGAGGTGAACAATCAATTCAAGAAACAGACTTCAGAGGGCCCTACACAAAAAATTATAAAGAGGCTGTCAACAGACTGGGTCAAACAGAAGCTGAAACAAGTGATAAATAAATGAGAAGCTAGAAGGAAACAATGTTCTCAATGTAGAATGCACCAGGCGTAGTATGCCCAATGGCCATGACATCAAAAGAAAAAGACAAAACTGCTAACCTTCAACATGGCAAAAGGTAACCTGTGACTCTAAAAGCCAAGGGAGCCAACAGTGACTGACTGCACTTGGTCCTGGAAGAGATCAATGTGGAATACATGAGTCAGCCTTACAAAAAGCAACGTTTGCCAAGTGTGATGGCACATGCCTGTGATCCCAGTACCCAGGAGGCTGAGGTAGGGGGATCACCCTGAGTTTGAGGTCAGCCTGGGCTAAATAGTGAGTTCAAGGCCAGCCTGAATTATACATTGTAAGACTTTGGTGCAAAACCAAAACAAAACAACACTAAATTAAATCAGGAAGATAAAACAAAAATGGAACCCCTTGTTTGCTTTCTTCTGAGAGTATAAGGAGCTTTAAGGATGAAAATGTATCCCCAGCTATGTCTGGTACATGGCGGGCTCTGGATAGATGTTTATTAAATGGCAAATCAATGTCTACAGCATGTTTAAAAGAAATATGAATTCAAGAGGCAGGAATAGCTATGGTTTTATCAGGTACCATTTTTCTGCCATAAATATAAGATATGATTGAAAATATGGTAAGTGCTTAAATTTTTAAAAATTTACTACAGTAAAAGATACACTGTCATTAATCTCCTTCCAAATATTCCCCCCTACATCAAACACACTTAACCCACTGTTCTTGCCACTTTCTGAAGCAGTTCTGGAAGACCTTTTTCATGAGTCTCTTTAGTTGTACTGCTGTGGCTACCTCGATGCCCTGCATTCATTCAGAATGTTTACTTTTCATGGTCATTCTGACTTTGAGGAAGAGCTAGCAGTTGCACAGTGTCAGATTTGGTGAATAAAGCAGATGATGCCACACTGTAATTTTTTTTAAGCTTGCCTTTCTGTTGGATAGCACTCAGCAGCAGCATTCATTGCATTTTTTATCACACCTCATAAAAAGACTAACAAAAGAGGACTTCCATGACTGCTTCAGAAAGTAGAAACAAGGATGGGATGATTGTGTTCGAAGCAAGGGGGAGCATTTTGAGGTGGATTATGGGCAATGTATCTTTTACTTATTTATTTATTTATTTATTAAATTATTTTATTGGTACATTGTAGGTATACAACACAATTACATTTCTCATTGGGAATTGTACCTTTACATGATGCATCTTGGTTCTTATTTTTTTCCCCATTCCTAGCCCACCCTTCCCTATTTACAAAGACTTTATTTCCATTTTTTCCATTTCTCATCATTTTTCCTTTCCCTTCTTTCCTTTCCCCTGCCCCTCCCACTACCTCTACCCCTTCGGACCTTTTCTTCCTATTTTGCATTATTGATTATTCATTCTAATCATTGGTACATTTTAGGTATACAATATAATGACACTCATCATTGGAAATTTGCACCTTTACATAGTCTCTCTTGGTTCTTATTTTGTGTATCTTTTACTGTAACACACCATATTTTTTTAATAAACAATTGTAGTTTAAGAATATTCTGGAAAACTCTTAGTGTTTCAATACCTACACTATGACCTCCAAAGTGCTCTGGAAAGCACATAGCAACAAACCATGCACAAGTAGAACCAACAACACATTACACAGTGATTTCAGAGGCAACCTGAATATATTCCATGAATAATTTCCACTGTGGAGCTTGAGAGATGTTTTATATGGGATCCTTTAGAGATTAATAAGGGGGAAAAATTTACTGGTGCCCTAAGAATTTTCAAATGTTAACAGTTTTAAGTTCCGTGTGATACACAGAAGTATTTCTCTATATTTTTGCAAATTATTAAAACAAATGAATAAAAAAGTAATTCTTAGGAATGTATTACTGTTAGAGGAGTAGAGAACAGAGAATTTCTGGTACAAATCTACTACCAAAAATATTGATCACTAATGATTTACCAAGGAATTATCCTTCAGGGCACAAATATGGAAAACTCCTTTCTGTTTCTTCTTATTGGGTGTGATGATGTAGTGCCAAGGATGGCCTCCAATCTGAAAAGCATTTTCCAGAGATGACACCTCAAAGAGCAATGGTGGCGAGTCTATAGAGATGAGCAAAGGGCATTTATTAGCTTCTCTGTTCTGGTGGCCTTGGGCCATTCATTAACTGAATTCAACCTTTCTTAGCATCCATCATCCACGAACTTCCACTATGAAAAATTACTAAGTTGAAAGAAACAAATGCAATCAGGAAGAAGTTTACTGCTAAGAAAAAGAGAAAGCTAGTAGGAAACAAATATTAGGCCATGAGCAAACTTTCTAGACATCTGTATTCTGGGGCATGTGTAAGTCTGCAGATGAACAGGGATAAAAGATGAACTGAAGATGCTTATGGTGGGGGGAAAAAAAAAGAGGACAGGGTATACTTAATAAAAGCTGCCATTTGCTGACTACCTGTTATGTGTAAGATTCTGAGCTAGTTACTATTTCCAACTCCCATAACAACCCTAGCAGGTAATTAAGTCTAATAATTCCTTCAATATGAGAAGATCTTCCATATCCAAAGCTAACAAGTATATGAAACAAACTTTACAAGATTTGTCTTGCATAAGATTTCCAGTATAAATGCAACATTAGTCATAATGAATGTAACCACTTAGGGTAGGGTCTGCCCACAATGAAGACTTTATTAAAGGGCAGTCACTACTGCTACTATTGTCATCAGACAAGTTAACTTTAAGGTGGTTCAGATAGACTCAGTCAGTCTCTTTTGGAGACACCATAAAAGAGAATTCTGTTGGTGCTTTTTAGTCTTACTCTTTGATCACAATTTTAAAGAGTGTAATCTACTCTTAAATGCGTAAGTGAAAGAAAGGTACCACAGCTTTAGAAAACCAGAACTCCTTTTGGGCAACCTATGGAAACACTACATGGTCTACCTGGGCAAATGGCTAACTTATGACTGTTTACCTCTCTAACTTGAGAATTTAATTGTTTGATGAGGCCACTACTAATTTTTCAGAGTAATCTTGTCATACTAGTTAAGGGGCTTATATTAGGAAGATTATTCTTTTAAGAGTCACATATTATACAGAGAAGTGTGTGTTTTGTTAGGCCTCTTTATAAGAATTATACTACTTTTATCATCATGTTTTTTAATCTTTTAAGAAAAGGGTAATATCATCGATATATAAAGGTCATTTCCAGTAATAAGAAAAATAGGAGTACTCCAATATAAAAAAAGTGTAAAATCACAAGCCAGTAAATCATAAATTTCATATGTGATAGTATACTGGCTACCAAGTGATGGTGGATAAGAACAAGAATCATAAAATGGGAAAAATATAATTACAGTTTTAATTTGGGATTAAAATTTAATTAGCTATGTTTTAGAGAATATGAAAAAATTCTAAACAAAAAAATCAATGCAAATACATGTATTAGCAAGTCTCTGTTCACAACTTTGACTGGCTTTGGTAAACCTTCAAGAGCCCAAATTTTGATTTGTACTGGTATTCTCAAAAAAGCCTACAAGTTCTCACAGAAGAGGCAATTTCATGCCATGTGGTAAGAAAAGTTTTGGACAGGTCTACACCATCTTGTTTCTAGAAAGCAAGGCGTTTACAAGAACGTCAGCCAGAAAGGAGCCAGGAAAAGGGGCTCCTACTGTCTAGACTGTGGAAAGAGGCACTACAAATAAAATGACCAATTAATAAAATACTTTGAGTCTGTGAAAGGTCAACAAATAATACTTCAAAGGAGACCTTTAACACAAAGTGTACAAAATGACTGTTTAAAAGAGAGGAGAGGGGCATGGTTGTATACGTTTATAATCCCAGCACTCAGGAGACAGAGGTAGGAACATTGCCACGAGTTTGAGGCCAGCCTGGGCTACATAGTGGGTTCAAGGCCTGCCTGCACTACAAAGTGAGACCTTGTCTCAAAAAACCAAAAAGAAACAAAAACTTTAAAAAAATGATAAGAGGGAAATAAGAATTTTCTGTAATTTTAAAATGTAAGGCATACTTATTCATATAAAGGTTTAAAAACCTAGATATGTGTTAAGCAAAAATACAAGGTACAGAACAGAGTATATGCCATTTCTCAGTGTAGGAAGGAAGGCGATATTTAAAATAAATATATATAATATATATTTGCTTATTTTTGCAGAAAGAAATAAAACAGAAGAATAAACCTGAAACAAACAAAAAGTAATCTAGTTTTGAAGACAGATGTGAGATGGGGGAGGAAAGTAATAATAGGATGGAAGAGGAAAGCTTGGAAACAAAGTTTCTGAGTGTATCTTTTCATGTAGTTTTGACCCTTCAACTATATACACATTTTGTAACTGTAAGAATAAAATCAAGGGCTGGGAATTTAGCTTAGTGGTAGAGCATTTGTCTAGTATGTGCAGGGCTCTATGTTCAATCTCCAGTACAGCAAAATAAATAAATAAATAAATATCAACAAGGAAAAAGGAAACCAAACAAATGAACTCACATATATCAAACTGGTAATCTAATCCTATAGAAAAATGGCCTCAAATTACTTTTAAATACATTACTCTGTATGTATACAATGATTGGGCTGTATACTGAGGGAAAAAGGGAGCCTTCAGTCCATGCTTTAATTTTTAGTAAAGCAGCACTGGTACTGATGGTGCAGGATTATTGTGTATTATTATAGGATAAATTTTAATTGGAATCAAGAAATCCAGCATGGAGCTGGGGTGTGGCTGAGTGGTAGAAGGCTTGCCTAGCATGTGCAAGGCCCTGGGTTCAAGTCCCAGCACCATAAACAACAAAACAACAACAACAACAAAAAGAAAATTTGCTGTGAGTTAAAGGAAATAAATATAAAGTAAAAAAGAACAGTAAAGTTAAAAAATATCAAAATGAAGTGGTGAATTTTGTATCTTCCAGTTGTTCACTGGGAGAGCCAAAAAGTAAGGATATGTAACTATAATGATGCAACTAGACTTTGGTCACTGTTATGGGTTGAACTGTGTCCCCCAACTCAAGAGAAATGCTGAAGTCCTGACTCTAGGACCTGTGATTGTGACTTTATTTGGTATTAGGTCTTGACAGATAACAATCAAATTGAGATGAAATAGTACTGGATAAAGCTAAGCTCTAAATTCAACAACCGGTACTGTATTCTTATAAGGAGAAAGACTTGATGAAATGGAAGGAAAAAGTCCACATGAATAGAAAGGCAGAGATTGGAGTTAAGCCAAGGAACACCAAGGACTGCCTATATTAAAACCTTTGGAGTTTCACCTAAAAGCATGTTGCTTGCTTGTTGCAAATAGAAGGAAATATCCTCAAGGTGCTAAGGAATGATTCTTAATGAACTAAGTAAAAAAGGTATTAGGATAATAAAGTATATTTTCCCTTTTAATTAACTCATGTGATTTTGTGTCTATTTCCAATCCTTAAACTATTCTTGAATACCTGAGATGCACCCTGGATACACATGGTTTAATATATACTGGTGATTTTAGATGGTGGTTTGATTTTTTTTGAATAAATTGCTTAATTTAATAAGCTAATTAAATAAAGAACATATTTACCATATTTATAGAATTTTCTTTTTTGTGTTTTGTCAATCTGTAAGCATTCTGGGAAGTCCCCACTGTATCTAGTCCTATCTGTGTTCAGATGGCATAATAATAACATTTTCCTTGGAAAATACCCTTCACAAATTGTTAAATGTTTCACAAAATATAAAATGTTAAATTATAAGGGAGCTAGGATGGCACTATTTGTTGCAACTCATTTTCAGATAAGAATATAAAAGCTCAAAAAAACACAGTGTTTCCAAAGGTCTCTGGTCAAGCAAGGCTCAGCATCCCCAGGCCTTTGGCTCAAGCAACAACCCAACAGAATTTTGTTGACATTTATTCAATAACAAGGAATATACATTTGCTGTATAGAAGCAAGATGAATCAGTTTATAACTAAGGAGAAAAACATTTGGATGATTATAATTAGTAACTACTTATATGACCACTTATTTAAGGTGAAAAAGTACTATATAGTAGCCATACCTGTGATTTTAATATTACAAGGGATGCCAAAGGGAGCCTCTCCTACAGTTCCAGTAGTCCCACCCCATCTGCATGCACACCCTAAGTCAAGTTTCTGTTGCATGAACTAAAAACAAAACAAAACAAAAATGGTGGCTTTAGCACCTGTTTATTTGCTATCTGGAAAGAAAAAAATAATTCACATGTGTATAACAGAGAAAATGTCTTTAATCAAGGGTCTTTCTGTTTATCTTCCCCACCCGTCTTTTAAAGATTACTTTGTCTTTCAGGATTTCTATAGTTTTATGCAGTTGCTAACTACACATACACTTTACTCTAAAAACATTTCATTAAAAAAAAAGAACAGTCCAAAATTCATAGTTTAGCAAATTTCAGGTTCTCTACCTGTTCAGTGATGGCTTGGAAGCTGTAGAGTCTGACCAGTCCTGAGCTGTACATCACAATCAGTATTCCATGAGACAGAGTAGCATCAGTAACATTCCCGAAAATCTGGGGGGAAAGGCAGATATCACCTGAGAAAAGACCAGAAGGTCAATCCTCTGAGTGTTCACAGTGGTTTTTACTGTTGCTTAAAATTCAGGTCATCATTTCAACCTTGGTGCCTAGTGTTAAAACTTAACTACAATTTAGCAACTTGAGACTAGGGTGTTAGTAGGGGTGAGCAGTAAGCCAGTAGATTTTCAGACTGGAGCACTGATAAAAGTGTAGCACAAAACCCTCAGAATGATACATCAGCATTTATTTGCTTCATAGCTTTATAAAAATCTATTAACACCTGGGTGTGGTGGCGCACTCGGGAGACTGAGGTAGAAGGATCACCATGAGTTCAAGGTCAGTCTGGGCTACACAGTGAGTTTAAGGCCAGATTGAACTACAAAGCGAGTCCCTGTCTCAAAAAAAAAGAATCTATTAACACATCTTATTCCTCAAGGATATTGGTATATAGTAAGGCCATGTAATTCTAAATGAATTTTTAACTTACCATGCATATCCTGGCAGAGACCTATTCTTTATATTTACTAAAATGTTCTCTATAAAGAGATAAACTTTAGCTATTTAGAGGTGAAAAGATTGGATCTAGGCAAGTAATTATAAGACAGACATCTCCAGATTTTTATTATCATCTTGTTCTTTAATTTCTAATAAATATTGCTTTTTTTTAGCCATATACAAATAAAACATGCTGAAGATCAAACATCTACAGAGACATTTAGCCTTGCTGGCCTTGAGTAAGGTTTTAGCTCATTGTTCTTTAAAGTTTCTGTTCTATGCACTGAATGCATGATTCTACATATAGCTTAGATAAATAACATTATTCTATGCCTATATGAATAAGTAACAAAAGTCAATACAGGCAAATATTTATAACGATGAAAGACAAAGTGGATATGAAATGAAAATTTGTTTCTATTTCTATTCAAGAAAGCTGACTGAAGATTTACAATCTCAGTAAATGTCCTAAGTCCACAATACTACCCAGGAACTGGGCTCCTGGGTAGTTTTATTATGCATAGTAAGTGAAAAATGTGCTTCAATCCCAATCATACCAACTATAATCAAAACCAAATCCTTCAGATGGTTATTGCGGATACATAAGAATAAACAGGAACAATTTATGACTTTGTTAAGTGTTCATTCTTACTGTAGACTGTAATGTATATTCACAATTATCTAATCCACAAGCACAAAGAGAACGATTAAATTATAAGTTGTGCTTTTTTGCCATCTCTTTGAAAGATAATTACAGTTGGCTTTGACGTTGACTAGCTCATGATTTTTTAATTCACTGATCCTTGTTTCCCATTTTGAAAGGAAGAGTTGTGTAATTCAAACATTTCAGAACAATGAATGCTATAATAAAGTAGCCAAACTACTTTAAAATTTGATTTACACTTTTGGGTGGAATCTAGGTTCAGATTCTAGCTCTTTCACTTAATATTTTCAGAATTTGAGTATCTGCTTACCTTCTTAATTATTACATTGTAAAATACTCAAAGTGCTTGCTACAAAATAAATATATAACTAACATTATTTAGTGTATCACACTTATATAATATTAAAATGTTTAAATTCATTCATCTTATTTACTAGTGAGTATCAGTAGAACCTTGAGATCTTGTCATCTAAAACACTTTAAGTGTTTAAAGAAGAGTCCAATAAATAAACATTTGCCTGTAAGAAAGTAGAAGACTATTGATTCTTTTTTTGGTGCTCAAGATTAAAACCTGGACCTTGCACATTCTAGACAAGCATTGTACCACATTGAGCTATATCCTCAGCCCCACTGACTCTTATGAAATCTGTCACCTCTTTTCGCCCATGTAACTACTCCACAAATCAAGGAAACCACCAACAACAATAAAATCCAAAACTGAATGATGGAGAAAATTTACACAATTATTAGCCTTGTTTATATACCATAAAGCAAATTTTAACCTATAGCTTGCCATTAAAATGAGACATGTTTTGCAGCTTAATGATCATTTTAATAAGCTTTGGAAATATTTTCCTTGAAAAAAACTAACTTATTCATTTCACAATTTTATAAAAAAGTAGTTTATTAATGACCACAGGTTTCCAACGTTATCCATCTGAGAGGCATAAAAACATGCAGGAAAAAGAAGGGATAAGGGGCTTTCCTCTCAAGTCAGATGTTTTCATGTATTTTGATATGAAACAAACCAAGTCGTGGGAACATTTCCAATCAAAACATCTAATAAATAATTAAATGACAGCAATCTTATTGTCAATAAAATTAATGCAATTGAGTAAGAAATAAGTCCTTACCCTTTTGTTGATCTCTACAATCCCTACAAGTGAAAAAGGTAGAGCTTGGAACACTGCAAGGTATAACAAAACAGTCTGCTGAATGCCTGCCTAAAAAGAAAGAGCAATATTATAGGCAGCTCTCCAAAGTACTTTAGAAACACTATTTTTATGACTTGAAAGCATCATCTGTCCTGGGATGTGGTTATACAGAGGTTTTCACAAACTGAAAACATCTGTTGACTGAGATTAAAAAGTCACCTAAAGGCCGGGGATTTAGCTTGGCCGGGGATTTAGCTCAGTGGTTTCTCCGCCTGGAGCACAAGCGCAAGGACCCGAGTTCGATCCCGGTACCAAAAAGAATGATGAGTTCAGTGTGTCCAAAGTAAGAAGGGGAGTATGGCAATGTCTCTTCTACTGTAATAAAAAATTTTTTTTTTTAAAAGTCACCTAAAAAGGAAGGCAAACATATTTAAAATATGCTCATTAAATCAGCTACAGTATTTAGATATACACACATACACATGCACACAAAAGTCTACAAGAAACGTACCTGGGCACAGTGGTGCGCACCTGTCAATCCTAGCACTCAGGAGGCTAAGGCAGAAAGATTGCCTCAAGTGCGAGACCTGCCTAGGCTACATAATGAGTTCAAGGCCAACCTGAACCACATAGCGAGAAGGGAATGGAATGAATATGAGAAAAAGAAAAATTGGAAACAAAGTCTTTGTAAATAGGGAGGGATGGAGGGGTTGAAGGGAGGGCAAGGGAA